CGCGATACATCGGTGCGAACGAGCAGACCTAGCGCTGCATCGGATCCGCGGAGCCCTGAGCGAGTCGTGGGGTACCGGGGCTAGCCGGCCAGGTACTCGGGTAGGAGCGAGAACTTGTGGCGCTCGTCGGCGACGACCTCGCGGTCGTCTGGCGCTCCGCACGTGCGGTAAAGCCGACGAGCACACCGAGACGCAAAAGAGAAATTGCGGCGCATCTACGAGCGCAAAGCGAGGCGTACGTCGCCCGCGTGGATGCGCCGTCATACTATGTATGAACTGTGGATGGAATTTTACTTTTATAAAACGAATACGTTCATCATATTAGTTGAAGTAAATTTGAACATTATTTGCCATAAAGCAGATCAGTAAAACTACGAGAAAAAAGTATTAACGCGAACAATGGGCTGAGCTAAATCGTAATAGAAAAAAAAGAGACGATCGCAAAATCTCTTTATTTGTAGTAGCAATATACTTTCTATTAAAAAAATATTTCTTATCTAAAAAGCACATTAGTTCCACAATAGATTTTCAAATAGTTATTCATACTAAATATACACTCGGCAACAAAATTATCGCAACAAAAAAATTCATCGAAATTTTGTGGATTTTCAAATGCTTCTATCTTGGGCTAGATTTATCGTATTGACACGCTTTTTTTTTTAATTTCTTGGAAATTTTGTCCTGTTTAAATCCATATAAATTAAGATAATATTTGAGTTAATGTTGAGTTACCAGTAGTATTTGAGCGTGACCCTAAAAATTACTGAAAAAAAATGACTGTTTGAATGTGTACCAGTACCACAGTGATTTTTTTATCGAAATCTAACATACACCATCGCAAAGTGCTCTTTTTAACGAGTAATTTAAAAAAAAAAAGACCTCTCTACGATTTTTTTAACGCCCTGTAGGTCGATTTGAAGATACCATTTAAAGTACGTAAAATCCCCCGTTTACCTGAAATCAAGACGATTTTCTGGGCATTTTGCGTACATAAACCGTACCTTCAAATCGACCTACAGGGCGTTAAAAAAATCGTAGAGAGGTCTTTTTTTTTTTAAATTATTCGTTAAAAAGAGCACTTTGCGATGGTGTATGTTAGATTTCGATAAAAAAATCACTGTGGTACTGGTACACGTTCAAACAGTCATTTTTTTTCAGTAATTTTTAGGGTCACGCTCAAATGCTACTGGTAACTCAACATTAACTCAAATCTTAACTTAATTTATATGGATTTAGAGGACAAAATTTCCAAGAAATTAAAAAAAAAAGCGTGTCGATACGATAAATCTAGCCCAAGATAGAAGCATTTGAAAATCGACAAAATTTCGATGTATTTTTTTGTTGCGATAATTTTGTTGCCGAGTGTAAATAACACACTCACCTTATTCTCCTTATTCTCAATCCTTGTGCAGTTTAGAAAAAATATTTTTCTTTGTCCTCTGTTGTCGCGCGATTACGTATTCACTGAACTCGTTTTTTACTCGATACAAAAATGTTAATAAATGATCGTATATTCTATGAAAAACACTCTAAACACAAACAGGGTAAATTTTATTATTTAAACTAATAGAAAAACCAAAATCGATAAACGCGAAACGATAGACTCAATATGTGCGTAGTAGGTTAGGCAAAATCGTGTCGCGACTTGCGAATCTCTCCTGCTGGCGTCTCGGGAACAAATGCCGCTCTCGCGCGCACCACAGTAGCTAAAGGGGAAGGGAGAGTAACACAGGCCAGTATTGCTCGACGCTCGAGCCTCTAAAACGACTCAGTTGCGTCGTGTATGCCTTTCTCGCTCTCGCTTGCTTGCCTCGTGCGCTTCGGCCATTGCTCGCTCGCTTCGGCTGTTGGTTGTTCGCGTCGACCGTTACTTGGTCGCTTCGGCCGTTGCTCGCTTCGCACATGATTTGCGTGTTCGTGCATGTTGCTTGGTTGTGGGTTTAGGCCGTGACATCGGCCTTGGCTCTCACAACCGAAATGAGTATAATACAGCACCAGAATACATTTTTCAAATCAATAAATGAGAAGTTAGTTCATGAATAGTATCTTGCTAAAAGATTTATTGTATTTATGAAAAATTTTTATATAATTTCTACTAACCGTTACTGAATCTGCCTTCAAGCAAATCTTTATTTTAAATCCAACTTCCGTCAGAGATATTGATGTATTTCACGAAATGTAACTCGAGAGCAGAGCCCGATAATTGTAAATAAATTTGAATTTATAGATTCGTAACGAAATTATACTTAGATGTGATTAGATTTTGAGTTTTTTTTATTAGAGCAAGTGTAAAGTGTTCAGTTCACTTGAGAGTATTTTTCTCAAATTTTGGCCACTTTCTAGCATAATAACTTTTTTGCGCCGAATGTTGGAGACTTTCTATAGTGACAATGTGAGATAAAAATATTTTGAAAAATTCTCAATTAGCAGAATTTTGGACAAATATTAACTTTGGAACATAGAAAAAAAGGCATATGTGGTACCAAAATAATAATAAAATTAGGGGACATTTATAAAATTGGAAAAAAGTTTTTCATAATAGCCAAAAAAATGTTTTGCTGGACGTTTAAATTAATTGAAAATTGGGCATAAATATTATAAATAAAAAATGTGGATTTTCATGTTCATGAAGTAATGATAATTTTAAGAATCGCACTTTAATTTCAACAAATAACAAGTCAAAATTGAATGAGATTAGTAAAACTCAAGCACATCGGTACTTCAATTCTAAATAATACAAACATGATATGTTTTATCATGTAAAAAATATGGGTTTTAATGTTTTTTACAGCAATATTAATTTATAGTGCAGTTTCGATTTTAATGTATTTTGCTTAAATATATAAGGATCATACATGAAAATTTTGATTTGATACTTTATTGCATCGTTAATGTTAATCCTCTGAATAACTGTATATTGAACATAGTTTTTAATGCACGTACTTGATTAATAATTTACCTAAGGCTGTAAATTTCAACCAAATACTTTAAAATTCATGTGATCGGTAATAAATAATTAAGTGATTTTACACAAAAAATTATTTATGAACAAAATTTAAATTTAAGAGAACGTCCACATTAACTTTTATGTATGTGTATATTAAAATTGTGATTTATACATAAATATTACAATAGGTATGATTGAAATTGAATTAATGTACAATGACTTTAATATTCAAGTACCAATGTGCATTAAATGTACATTAAATTTCAGCACAATTTTTACAGTGTTGACGGTTAGTTTCTTTCTCACAATTTGAAAGTTTTTACTTTATTTTGTTCTTGACGTTTGTAAGTGTTTTACACTCCGAATACAATGATACAATGTACATGTTTTTCCACTTCAAAATAACCAATAATTTAACATAACAAAAACCAGTTCTCAATGAATCGTTGCAATTGAGACCGCACCGTACAAGTTGCAGACAATGTGGGGTACGCCGTCCTCCTATAAAAATTCTTACGACTAGCGCGCACAAAGCTGGCCAGGAATTTATAACGCGATCGATGTTTTCAAATTTTCCCCAAGCGAACTCACGCGTACGTAGTGGAAATAAATTAGGCAGAAAATCACGAAGCCACGGACCGCGCGCGCGCGAGGGGAAGAGCTTAATTAATTTCAGAAAAGACTCGCGATCGATCTTTTCACGAGAAAACACGAGAGATAATGGTGCTCGCGTGTCGTTGAAGCTCCAAACTAGCTAGGCCACGAGCTGACGACGCGAGCACACGACCACGAAGATATTTTTCAACATGAATTTATCGCGGCAAAGGAACTCCGAGTCGAGGAGCGTCATCGTTGTAAATTAAGCTGAATCCACGCGCGAGCAACCGGCTTTATATGCACCTCCGTTCTTTGCGGTCGCCATTTGTCATTTAACAATGGGTCCAGACGCGCGTGCGCGCGAAAAAAATGCATTGAAATAAATTGCTTGTTCGTTCTCGCCCTTGCTGCGGTCTTGACTTCCTTCCTTGAAAATTGAAAATTTTCGACAAGTAATTGAAAAAAATGTAGATCATTTTGAAAGTATCATTTGTGTACGCAAAATGCTAAAATATCTAGTCGATTTGATAGAAAAAAATCACGAGTTACAATTTTTTTGTCTAGTTATCATTTCAACAGGTTGTTGTAATATTCAACGCCACCAGAGATTATACACATGCGACAGTCATATAATAACAATAACTTTGTCTTTATGAAACGTCGCTCCCTCCACGCGATCACTATCTTTATTTTTCACGCCGTATCTACGTGTTCTCCACTACACTCGCCTGTACTTCAAGTCCTCTTCTGCATATAACGCATATTGCGCGCGGCGTCCGCGTAGATTCGCGCGCACACGCGTGTATATGCGCACTTGTTCGTTAGCACTTGCCCAAACAACATCAACATCCCCCCCCGACAACAGCAGCGACGCGCGTCGGCGCGCTTTGTACGCGAATACGCTCCGGAGAAAGAGGCGAGGCATTACTATTTATGCTTTCATGAATTTTCATCGCGTATCACACGAGAGCGCCCGCCTCTGGACGACACTCATTATTGCTCGTTATTTCGCTCTTTCTTTATGCGCGCAAACTTGCTTCGTATATGCGCCCAACGTATACGTATACATATGGGTGTCTACACGCGTGAAAATGATATTTCTCTTTTATCTTTTTGTTGCGCTTCGGGCTTGAAGCTTGTGCACATTATTGTACTACGTGGCAGCTGATTTTTTTTTTGTCATGGACCCTGTGAAAAGAGGCGAGAAAATCATTTTTTTTAAATGCTGGGCGAGCTCGAACATATCGTTTGCTCGATGTCTCTGATTTCTGTCTTTGAATTATATAAAAAAAAACAAGCTTCTACGTCGTTCTTTTTTACAATATAGCGAGATGAGCGCCATGAGCTCAGATTTCACGCCCGTTGCTCATAACATTTTCATACGCGCTCGCACGCGCACTCGTGTAAAAATCTCGATTACTAACGGAATTTTTCCTCTCTCCATTTTTGTTCGCAGCTCTCGGAAGACATAGGCTACGTGATTTACTCGGCGCTCGGCAGTTTCTACATACCCTCGTGCATCATGGTGTTCGTCTACATCAGGATATACTTCGCCGCCAAGGCTCGAGCGCGCCGCGGTATCCGCAAGGCGCCGCGCCCGAGGCCGGCCCAGCCGCCGCCCGAGTCGCCCGACATACGCCAGACGAGCTTCACCCAGCTCACGAGCTCGACCGGGGCCGGGGGCGGTCTCAGCATCGGCGAGGCGAAAAAATCGCCGAGCTCGACGATGGAGAACGTTGCCACGATCGAGGCGCAGCCTGTGCAAATACCGATCGTCACCTGCGACTTCGCCAGCGACGTCAGCACCTCGGAGGCCGATCCGAACAACGGGGGTGGCCAGCTCGGCATGGACGAGAAGGACACGCTCAAGGTGAGCAATAAGAATTATTGATCGGGCGGAATTAAGCCGTGCGCGCTCGTATATTTAACGGAAGAAAAAAAAATTGATTCTACCGCTGGGTCAGACTCAGAGATCAGAGCTCGAGTCTAAGCCGTTGCGCTCGCGCGCGCGCGCGAACGGACGCTACACGTATTTCGAATTTACTAAGGTTAAATAAAGTGTAGATGTATGCGAACAATCGGACACATGCACGTATATGCACTTTTACACACATACACACTCACACGGATACTATATAAGCGGACATGCAAGTTGGTAACACGGCATTTGGCCTTTCGCAGAAGCAACTCACGTGTGTGATCGCTAAATCCATTTGCCTTTAAAGCCCCTACTTCGACTCCCATCCCAGGCCTGTAAGCGCCTCTCGCCCCGTTTGTGTATGTGCGCCCGAGTGTGTGCCAGTCGTACGTCTCACTAAGGGTTTCGCATATTATACGTGCTGTACGTAGCTGTAGCTAAACACATATATACACGTATACTCTTGCGCAGTGTTGGTTATTACACGTACAAATGCAAAGGAGACGAAGAGATTTCGCTGCTGCTTCCCTACACGCTGTGCAGTCTAAGAAGATTTCGGGCGATTACACGAGGCCGCATTTTGTCCTTGTTGCATACATTACGTGGCCACGGCTGCTGAAATAAATATAAATAGTTGTAATACGCGCTGAATAAACTTTATAAACGCATTCACACTTTGCAAACTTTCGGTAGAATTTTTTATTAATGCTCATTAGCTGCTTCGTCACCGATGAGCTTCGCCAACGCATTTGATGGTATTTTCTTGATTTTTAATGTTATCGCTCGAAAAAATTTTACGCTCGTGACAACATTTTTTTAAAGTTTATAATTACCAACGTGTAATGTTCGCTAATTCACGTACACACTCGTCAAAAATATTATTTCGACGCGCACGCGGGAATTCGCACGAAGTATAAATGCGAAAACAATTGCATCGTGCAGACTAATGGACTGTAAACAAACATCCGATATTTTCTGTTATTTTTTTACGGAGGTGCGTTAATGTTTGTCACGAGTACGCGGAAATTCGCATTATTTTTCGTTCACGCGGAAATATTTCAGCTTTTGAAAGACCAGTAAAAGTTAAATTTTAAAAATACAAATGTACGTAGCAGATTTTAAGTTGAATCGGACAAAAAACTGTTTAAAATCGTGAAAGAGGTTTATACCACAACTTATAACGAGCATCAGATACAACCTTCAAATTGACGAACAAAATAGCATAACTTCAATTTAAAAGTAATAAATATTCAAATTATTCTAAATTAGGAGAGAAAAAGAGAGTTGTTTCGTAAATATAATTAATATTTTTGAGGTAATTTAAATGACGCATCTCTGATCGACCAGCACACGGGCGCACGGCGCACGTGCGTGCGAGGGAGGCGGGTGATGCCCCCGCGCGAAGCCTATTTGCGTACGTTGCCGCGGTCGGAGGGGCCCCTTGCTCGCGTCCGCCAGCACTCTGCCCTACCGATCGTCGCTAAACGCGCCAACTGCCTCGCAGTATATTAAATTTTCATTTTAAATTATAATAAAGATATAAGTCACATTCCGAAAAGTGAGGCGTATCAGTTTAAAAAAGTATAAGGCATGACATATTTTGAGTAGAACCTGGTAATTATCAGATATTATTGTTGTTGAATGATTATTATTAGTTATAATGATATTACAATTATTGATGTGTAACGTCTTATGGCTCGTTGGGTAGGCTAGTGAATCCGTGAAAAACAAGCGAGCGAGCGCGATAATCGTAGGTTTTTAGTCTCACATCAGTAGCGTCTACAGGGCGTTTTCCAATTGTCACGAAGTGGTCACATTACCGAACAGCTGATTTGCCTGGAGGCATAACAAACCGCGCGCCCCTATACTTCACGTGTTAAATTAGAATGTTAAAAGTACTTGTAATTAGTTTATAATAAAGTTTACAAAATAAACAAAAAATATCCGGAGAAAGCGGAAATCCTCGTGTATCGAAATATCGAAGCGGTTTTTAGTTAGAGTCTTTAGTTTGTAAATAAATATTGACATTTCAACTTTTTCGTCTGTGATATTGACAATAATCTCTAATGAAATGGTTATTAAATGTGCTTGTTCGGTTGGTGGCGTCCGACCGCCCGCGCGCGCGAAAAAACCACGTTTTTTCTTCTTTCTCTCGCTATATCTCGCTAAAATCAAAAAACGCCTATTGGAAAAGGTATATATCGATGGGAAATTTCCTGATCTTTCGATCTAGACTATTTAAAAAAATCTTAAAAATGAAGTTTTCGAGATAATCGACTTTAAAGTTTTCCCAGCGATTTTCCCGGGTAGAGCGGAAAATTTCGGAAAATCTGACCTGACCATCGGAAAGCTGAGGCGATTTCCGATTGAAATCATGGGTTTGTTTTTTTCTCTAGGTGCATTTTAGTATTTTTACAGCGTTTCACAAATTTAGTGATTTGACTTAATTCTGCCGCGCCGCGCGGCACTGGGAGAGTTGACGTGAAATGCCACATATATGATTTTATTCTCGCCTCGCTTCGGCTCGTGCTGCAACCCCTCGTTTCGCTGAAAAAGTATATCCGTACCCGTTGCATAAAGTACTATTCTTATATAAATGGTTCGTGTTAAACAATCTGTTGTACTTGCTCCCGATACATTTCTGCGTCGACACTGACGACCACCGATGCCGCGAATCAATAGTCCTTGAATTAACTTATTATCATAAAAAATTTTGCTGCTTTCAAAAATCTACAATTATATGTCAACCTATTTTTTATAAGTATTTCTTGCAGTTTTAAGTGATTATCTAATTAATTTATACACTCTTAATATCATTTTGAATGAGGAGAAATTTATTTGAAAAATTACTTAATATTTAAAAAAAAAAAACAAAATGCGAGTAATTCGATTTAAAAAGTTCAAGTAAATCAATTTACAATAGAAGAAAAAAGAAGCGCTGCAAGATGTGTAACTAAAGTTACATTTAAAGGTAAAAAATAAAAAAAATAAACAAATAAAATAAACCACACCGAAAAAAAAATATGCTATATTCAAACAAATTTTGTTTGATTCGAACAAATTATTTACTTGTATAGTAGCAAACAAATGATTTGTTTAAATGAAAAAAATACATTTATTTGACGCTAATAAATATTTACTTAATTTGAAACAATCAATTATTAAAACAAACTAAATATTTATTTGTAATAAACAATAATATTTTTAATTCAAGTATATATTTGTTAATATCAAAAATATGTTTATTTATGTCTAACAAATATATATTTGAAGCAAAAATATAAAAGCTTATAACGAAAAGTTGTTTATTTGAATACAATAAAATATTAATTCATTTGAAAAAATATTTGTTTGCTTCAATTATTTTTTTTATTATTTCAAATAAATATTTACTAAACGCTAGCAAATATTTATATGACAAAATAAATATTTAATTGATTCAATCATGAGCTTGCTTCATTCATGGTTTAGACTTGAACTGTAACTAATATTAACTTTGAAATTATTGATTATATATATTATATTGATTACATTTATATCGCTTAACATACATTATATAACATTATTTACGCATACTTAATAATTATAAACACTTATAAACGCAATCCTAACATACAAAGAGATTCCTACACCTGGGATCGAACCCAGGACCTCGGGGTGGTAGGCACGCACTTTACCACTACGCCACCCGTACAAGTTATTATTCGAATGATTTAACGGCTGTAAATGATTATTGCGTATTATTGGTAATTAGCATATTGTATTAAAACTACCTTATTATTTGAAATTGATGCAATAAAATTAATAATTTTTATTTATTCCAGAAAAAGGTAAAAAATTTCATTGCGTGAAATAAATATTTGTTTTGTATTGTATCGTCAGCTCCCTAAATGCTAATTTACCTAGCTTGATCTTCTTATAAAATCAAATGATTCTTGTCCTTAGTTCCGCTTTCATTGGACTTCTAACTGCAGTCGAGACAGGCAACAACAGACGACTCATCTACCATAACTTCACAATTCAAATTATGTAAAAAGACGCGCTCACGCACACGCATTCACGATCACATTACGAATACCGAGAGCGGCTATGCAAGTAGCACTGATGGTAGTCCGAGCTGACATGGCAACTTTTTAAACCTAGTCCTAAACGTAATCGGCAACTAAGAACGTTAGGCTAGGGTGGCTGTATTGACAAAAACACACTAGCTGATTTCGAGCTCGATTCCGCTCAACGGAAACTGTGATGCACCTTACACACAACCCAAACACAAACTCACATAGCAAGCTACATGCGGTGAGCAGCTAGCCACTCAAATGCTACAGATTCACTCATATTCACAGTGTGGATCACAACAGCCGGCCGACGGCCTGTACTCGTGTTTATGTGTACAGCATGTCACATTTACAGTGTCGGTTAAGCAATATCGAGCTCGGACGTTATTCTAAGTACGCGATAACTTTAATATGCCACAGACCTTAACCCATCAAAAATTAAACATGGTAAATTCAATTAGTTTCATCAAATATTTTTTGATACGTAAGATACTTAATTTGAACAAATGATTTATTATTTTCAACTAAAATATTTGGTAGTATTGATCAATTTATATCTTATTTGAAACAAATATATTTATTTAAATTAAACATAGAATACTTCTTTTTTACAAACTAATTAAATACTTTATTTTAACAAATATTTCTTTGATGTCATTTATTGATTTCAAATAAATGGTTTGTTATCCAATTAATTATATATTTGTTTAAAACTAATAAAGAAATATTTGTGTCAAATAATGAATTGTTTAAAATATTTTTTCCATCTCATTCAAAAAAATTCTAATAAATATATGTTTGTTACTAATAACTCAGACTTGATATGAGAAAATATTTCTTTAAATTCAATAAATGGATTTCAAACAAATACATTTATTTGAATTTAACATACTTTTT